TGTTATGAACAATTAAGGAATGAGATTATAAAAAGCGCAGAACAAAATATCCCACAATTAGGCCAAATCGTTCAACAAAAAAATGCTTACCACTTAAGTGCTCGGCTTAACCCTAAACAATTAATATAAATTTAACCGTAACGATTATGCGAGACAATCTTCATTAATTAGACACAAGTCGAACATAGAACAAATTAGCCAAGGGTTCACGTCCTGTGGAGGCCCACAACCCAAACCCACAATGTCATTAACGTCACGTCGCTTTGCCTGTGTCGCCTTCACCTATTTCCATCGCAGGATAAAGGGTGCAGTAATTATATTTACCGTTAATCCTGATTCCCCACAAAAGGACACCGATGGAGTGGGCAAAAGGGTAAGCAGATGAACAGGAAAAATGCAACAAAGACCGTTAGCGGATGTTGTTGGTGCTAAAATGGGTTTACAGCGGTCACAATCAACCTCACTAAACTCTAATACCTTCGCACTTTATCTACCCCTTTTTACGTAGTAATCTGAAAGGTTCTAAAATTTCAAAAGGTACAAAGTTGCCAAACATAACTATAAATATAAACGTATATAATAGCTTTCACCCTGGGTTTGACGTTCAAAAAACTTTTAAAGCAAGATACAATTTAAAAATATTATAAATATAATAAATGCACGAGGAAAGTTACTCGATAACCCAACTTTATGCAACAATAATGCAAGTATCTACCAGGTATCCTTTGCTCGACTATAAACGTGTTCACTTGTTTCCCCAGCAGTTCATTTGCATAGTATTCGATTAAGTACGATTTACTTTTCCGTTCTCAACGGTTTCCATTCTCTATTTCAAATGAAAAGCGTGAAGCTTAAAGTGCGTTTGGTTCCATTGCGTGAACACTAAATTCGAGTGCGGTGGATTGTGAGCTGGTGGCTGCACTCAGAAACCATTTGATTCTTGAACTTTGCCAGTTTCCCAATAACAATAAGCACAGAACTAGCTACTCAAACCGCAGCTGCATAAATTGTTCAGGGCTTTGCTTTCGGAGCAGAAAATTGCAGTTGATGGTCTGCCTACTTCTGAACTACGTTTTTAAGCTAAATTTAAAAGGGGTTTAATCCAAATAGAGGGTAGCTTCTACCAAAGAAGTAAAATTTAAGAATTCAGTTATCAACATTAAGTTATTAACATAAAAATACTAGTTTTCCCTAAGTGCATAAATTAGTAATAGATTTTCACAACATTATGAATATTGGCATTTTCCAGACCATCTCCTTTGCCCTGGAAAAGCTTTCCTTGACAAATATTTAATATCGTCAATGCATTCCGTCGTTGTTGCAGTAGACGATGGATAAAATAGAAAAGATTGTGTCATACATGCATGCATGTACTATATATCTATCAGAAATTTGTCTAGCATGTCGACGAAAACTCACATATTCGGCAAGATAGTTGGGCACCCATCCAAAACGAGATAGAGGATGGACAAAGAAAAAAATATTTTTCCATGCGTACGTATAGAAAATTGAAGTCTCAAGAAATCTGTTAAAATTGAGAAAAGCAATCATAATGCATATATTGAAGTATTGACAGACGAGCAACTCGAGAGTTACTTTTCGCAAAGAAGAAAACCAATTCTCCCTTCGAGGTTTCTTTCCCCAAGGAGTCGATGTTTGTTTCAATTTAGGTCCTCGCACAGATGCGATTGCCTCCGACAAAACATTTTAATTTATTTACGACTCTGGTAAAAACGCTTAAATTAACAGCTGCGCAATGTTTAGCTAATGCAGAGGCGGCAGCTTGTGATAAAATTGTCCTTCCTTTGGCTAAGGCTTATGGAATAGAACATCCTTCCCACTGACCTCCACTTATAAACAAATTTAAAATTTACCAACCATTTTTAATTTATTTAAACAGTTTTAAGAGCCCTTAAAATTGTTTACTTAACCTTTAATTTATTAAATGTACCCCCATCGGCCATATAAATTCACTTTGTTTTCAGAGTATAATGCAGTCGTTTTACTGCATATTAACATTTTGATCTTTTGTTTTATTTCAAAACTCGATTCATGGGCTTTTGTCAGCTTTTGGTTTTTGTTGTCTGGCTTTTGGCTGCGATAACTGGCCCAACTGTTTTCACTGGCTCAAAGGCGACATAAAGTATATTTTGATTATTTTGTGAGCCAGAAGTTGAGCATTTTAAGGCCCGCCGGCATTTGCATTTCAAATATACTTTTACGACAGCCTCTCCAGCCCCTCGACCCGCATTCCGTTCGACACCTTCCCGCAGGACCCCGCAGGACTCAGCAGGATCTTCCGCCGCGGGCGAGACGAGGTGAGCCACATGGAAGTGGGTGAAATACCACAAATGGCGTGTAAACACAACAAAGAGGTAATAACAATGGATGCCAACGAGGTCCCTGACTTCGAGGGCCTGGGAGGGGTAACTCTACCGCATTCCAGGTTCCAGGAGCCTTTGAGGGGAGTCCTACATAGGGCAGGACTACAGAACGCAGGACTTTAACCCAAGCACCCGCACTTTCGAAAACATTTTTATTTGTTTCTCCGTAAGCTGTGTCAATACACAATAAATTGAACTGTGCAAGAATTTATGTTGGCACTGTGCGAGGACATTTGGCACCCTATCTGTCCCCATGCTTTTGGAGCCTTTGGTGCCTTCGGCTGCGTTATCGCACTGGGGCGTCAATTGCCTGTTGGCCACCCCCTGGGGACTAAAAAGTTCAATAATATTTATTTGTTACTTGCTCTTTGACAACAAAGCACACCAGATTATACTTACTCCTAGGCCGTCGTTCATCAAGTCGCGAATGTTGGCCCCCACACACCCACTTACATAATGGCGTATTGTCACACAATGGCCGAGACCGCAGATGCCTTCGCTTTGGCAGTAAATTCCGGCCACTAAAGGCGATGATTTTTCAACAGACACCGAGCTAATTTAGTGACCAAATGCCAACTCGGTCACCATTGTGATTTACGGGGTCACCATTTGCACGACTCCAATTATTTGCTGTATTACTGTGACTTTAACCTACACAAGAAATAAAGTAGTTCAATTATTAATTCATAGCTTGGACTACTTAAATGTAATTGCTTGAATTTGGTACAGTTAAGAATGAGTAAAAATAAGTTTAGTAAAAAGAACGTACTTATAGTTAAAGAATTCAAAGTTAATTTTATAAATTATTCAATATGCAATTTAAAGCCTAGTAATGTTTATTTTTTTAAATTTCCTCTCTTGAAATACATTTGTCTAGTTGGTTCATAACACCAAATAATACATGTATCGTTGTATATTTCTGGCAATTACCATAAGTATTATTGTCCTTTGTTGATCTCGTTTGGGCGGACAATTGATATTCATAAGCGATAATGGAAGGAACTGCCCGGCGGAAACAAGTGTTTTGTTGGTCATCTACAAATAGCATCCGTGGCACAAAAAAAATAAACCTCCAATCTTCTGTTGCAAAAAGTTTTATAAAGCGCATGCGCAGGCAAGCAGCCGGCAAATTGCACGAAGGCTTGGAGTTCGTAAGACCATGTTCGATTCCAAAGTCCAGGGAAACCAAGGGTTCGGGAACGATACAAAGCTGGGGAAGGACGAAACGAACCGGAATCCGATGTGAAACACAGGAGAAACCCGTTGGGGAACGTGCAACGGAACGGATTTGAATGGGATTCAATCGCCTCGGAATATCAAGAAGCCAGTGGGATGGCGTTGCATGAGCGCGTTTCAGTCGAAAATTTGAATCCGGTGCGCGTGGACGTGACTCGGATGACGGAAAGGACACAACATCCTGACCAGAAGTCAATTTTACGCGATTTCTGAGTGGGACTTGGGCCCAAATGAAAGGGAGCAAAAGCAATTGTGCAAACAAAAACGAAGATAAATATGCAAAAGTGGGAAAACAAAGAGAGGAAAAATTAAGACAAAGTTAAACCACTTGATGTCCCCTTGGGTGTCCTGTGTCAGTGTCCTGCAGTGCCGCCTGTCGAGTGTCTTTTGCCGAAATCACTTTTAAAATTTGTTTGCTCTTGCCGTATTCAAATGGATATTAGAACGCCGCGCTGAACTGAAGAAAACACAAGGAGCAAAAACAGGACCAAAAGAAACCGAGGATTTCTCCAAGGATGCGTAAGCGTCCGCCGTAACGTAAAAAAGGGATTATTGTGCATCATTTCGGGCAGCGAGTAAAAAAAGCGTAAGGAGGCGAAAGAAAATATATATTCTCAAGTCGGATTATGCGATAAATTCCTACTGAAGTGTAAATGTTTTCTCACGTGTTAAATCGTTAAATATAAGCCAGCCGAGTTAGACATAAATGAACCGCAATTGGTTTTAAGCGCGGCCATATGGCCACTGTAACTTATTACCAAGAACCTTAAACGGCAAAAAAGGGCCATGGAAAAGCAATGTGAAACTTGTTAAACACTATAAATGGTCCTGCTCCTTCAGGTTTTTATGTGCCAAAAGTTTTGCCCATTAGTCATCGAGAACACTGGGTGATAGTTCTGCATGGCAGCCGTGCAAGCTATTAACTTTTGTGCGGCGGCACGAGAAAGTGAGCCGAGATCGAGTGAAAAGAAAATTTTAAGTTATTAATTGCAAAACGATTATGAAAGTTTAAGTGGAAATTGCTTGATTTATATTTCTTGGCAAGTTCATGCACTTGGTTCTTTTTTTTCCTGATTGAGCTGTTGAAATAAAAGTTGAACATGAAAAATTACTCTTGAGGAAGTTTTTTTTAAATGCAGTTCAGGACTTAAATTGTGGTAGAAAAAATTTAAAATTTCACAAAAACTAAGCCCTTAATTAGGTTTTACAATTTTTTCAGTCTTTGCTTTTTCTATAGTTTTCACTAAAATGAACAATTATTTCACTTTGTTTTCATTTATTTTTTTTGGTTTATTATTTGGTTATTATGGGCAAACCATTTTAATAAGTACAATAAAATCCTATGGCAAACAAACCTGTAAGGTTGAATGTATTTATTAGGGCTTAAACGAATTTGTGCTGTTCAACTAAATAAGTTTTCGAGAAGGCCAAAAAGCCAAATAAACAAATTGGATTACCACACACACAATAAACCCGAATTCTGATGCTAGTTTATTTGTCTATGTTGGTGCCACTGCAGCGCCAATAAAAGTTTACCACTCAACAAAGGCGAAAACACTTAAATAAATATATAAATCAACCAACACACAAAAATAGTGCAAAACGAGACGAAAGACCAAGTAAGCAAACAATGCGACTGCAGGAAAATCGCTTGAGAAAACGCATCGAAAAAGTTGTGGCAGTTTTTTGTGGAAAATAGAAATAAAATCGAATGAAATAAAATAAAATGGAACAGCACAGTGGTTAGATAAAACCTCGATGGGGAGGCAAGCTAGGATCTCCCAGCCCCGAGTGTATTAATTCAATAAACCTATTTATACGAGACTTCGGCTGGGATTTGGGAAACGGAGCAGAGAATGCGACAAAGTTTGCCAGCCAAGACGGCGCAGTGCAATCAGCAGATCCTGGCTTTGGTCGTAAGGAGCGAGGAGAGCGAGGGGAAAGGAGCCAGATTCGATGCCGCAAACGAGTCCCAATTGGAGGCTGGCGGACAATGAGCGCACAAAAGGCGCTGTAAGTGTCATTGCAGCCAGGAACTGGGCCACTGGGACTGCCACGCAGGACTAAAACCAGAAGAAGAGCAGCAGGAGCAGCTGAAGCAGCAGCATCAGCAGCAGCAGAAGCAGCAACAGAAGGACCAGAATCAGCAGAACCAGGACCCGGACAGCAACGCTGACAACCGAGATGACAGTGGCAGGAACAGCAGGACGAACAGGACGAACCAGAAGAGGAGGAGCGACGCGGTGTCGCCGATTTTTCCATATATCCCGACCGGCATCTTGGCTGCGCATCAGCTCCGTCCTTTTCGTCCTGGCACTTGGCTTTGGGATACGTAAGTACAGCTCGGGGGTTCCCCACACTACTTCAGTGTGTGCGTGTGACTTTCATACATTTTTGATTTAATTTAACGCATTCACGTTCAACACACACTCCAAAGAAGGGGGAAGTTGTATAAACGGTTGCTTTACCTCGTACTTTTAAATAAAAATGTGATTTTACAAATTATTTTGAATGAGTATTTCGTGTGTTTGAGAAGCCCTCTGATACTGAGTAATTTAAGTTAAGCTTGGATACAAAGAAGAATTTTCAATTTTACATAGGAATTTTCTTATCTTCCCGTATTTTTGGTATCCCCCAAGAATTTGGAGTACTGGGCAAAAGGAACCGCGCATAAACACTTGGCAACACACAACACACATGGATAATGGCCCTCGTCCCAAGACGCGACATGGTTGCTGGCAAATTATTTTAGTAGTTCTGGATCAGCAGGGAGGAGGGGTGGGATGGCAATTGTCTCCTGCGTATCTGGTCCTTGGAAACTGCGGCGGATGGGAGCCAGGACTTGAGCTTCCTATTGTTTCATTTGATTTGCTGAAATTAGATTAGAACAAGCCACGGGGTCAGCGAAATAGCAAAACAATAGCCCATAAAAGTTGACAAAATGTTGTGCGGCAGTCTGCAGTCAAGGTTTTTTTGGGGGAGAGTTTCACAGTCACTTTTATCTTCATGTTTTTCTCTTTTCTATAAAATTTAATTCGATTTTTTTACTTAATTAAGCCAACCCAGTTCACCTAACAAAATTTCTCTTGGGTTTTGTTGTTGGTTTCGTTGGTTTTAATGGCAATTGAATTTTATATTTAATTGGAATTTAAAATTTACAGAAAACATGGCTAAAAATTACTAATCGATTTTTGTGTGCTGCATTAATCTTGTTAAAAAATGCTTCATACTTTTAGGCAACCAGATTTTAAAATATTTACAATCGAAAAACCGTCTCAAAGGTTAATACAATAATATTCCTATCAATAACATTCCTTTAGTTATTTCTGTCTCTTTTAGTTTTTCCAACTTTAAATATGGTAACCAACCTTTAACACATTCTGGCATTAGTAGTAGCCATCTGTTTATTTGTTGTCATAAGTTGTTAAAAATTCTGTGATTGAGAAAAAACACTTTTTGAGTCAGAAGCAGCTAAGAAATTTGTAGTAAAAATCCTTCAGAAAAATGGAATATTGTGAAGTAATGGGTGGTTTGATAGTGTCTGCACTTAAGGAACAACAAGGACCAATAAGTTTTCGGCAGCTTTTGGTATACGTATCCAAAGAGCTCAATGTCCCACAAAGGAAAATAAAAGAGACTTTGAGGTATGTCGTTCGATTGGGTGTTGAAGAGGAATACATCGCAAAGTTTGGGAACCGATACTCTATGAAAGGAGAATTCTCTGACGAAGAAATAAGATGTACGCTTGAAACAGCTTTCAGGAAAAGAAAAGAAATAGAAGAAAGGGAGTGTCCAAAACAACTTATAGATCGAATCACGAGTGTCTCACAGAAGCAATCGAGCGAGAGTGATGATGAAAATACGATGGAGATATTAACCTATTCTGATGAAGAGGAGGTAATGGTGTTTAATGTGATAAAAAAGGAGAAGAAAGTGGAAAATCCAGAAGTGTCGGATTGTACGTTATCAGAAAAGTCCAAAAGGTCCGAAAGATCCGAAAGGTCAGAAAGGTAAAGTTTCTGATTAAAAAATTCTGTAAAACTCACTAAATTTCCGAGCTATGTGCATATTGCTTTAACACTTTAGGTCCCAAAAAACTTTAAAGCTACACTTAAACGAATTCATCTAATGAGTTATTGTTTGTAAACAATCAGGATTTGTTTATTTTACTACGAAACTTGTTCACCACAACATAACTTTTTACCTTAACGAGGGATTATCCGCCCCTTTAAAGCAGAAAACTTTTTATACGAGTCACAACCGCTTCCGTAAATTGTGAGAACAATATTGTTTTGCCAGGTCCTTAACCCCATTGCCTTCTGTGTGGCACACGCAGTTGCTCAACTTCCCTATTCGGCCCGATAATCACGGCGAAAATAAAACAATAAATTGTACCCCATTTAATGCTCCGCTTCGCCCTTTTGTCTTCGCAATGCCCCACAAAGGCATTAACGAAATTGAAAACTTGCCAAAAAATGTTTAATAAACACATTTTCCGTAGTGAAACCCCAATCCTTGGCAAATCCCTTATCCCCTATACGCTTTTCCCACTTCAGTGGCCCTGCTACCCCTTCATTACAACTCTTCACAAAATGCGCTTTCGGAAAGTTTGAGTGCAACTCGTTATGCCAAAATACAGAATGGGCCAACAAAGCAGATGTAAGCCAACTACTGCTCCCTGGCTCCCACGAAATAGTCCAAAAATATAATGCGGCCGAAGTTTGTCTTGCTGCCGTCGCTTTTGTTCTCGAAAACCTCATTCCAATTTTTTTCGAAAATTTTTCGGGGATTTTGTGCAATAGTTTTGTGTTTGCCTTCTGCATAGTGCCGGATTCCTGCTAATTTCGAGAATGTGCCGGCAAAGTTGTTGAGCCTCGAATCAAAGCGGCCTACAGGTTGACTCGGCCTGACCTTTCCCCTCTGATCCTCTGTTTGGTTACACCTGGCCAAATGGCCGAAAATCCTTTAAGGCTTCTCCGGGGTCGAGATGTCGTGTCCTGCTGTCCTGTCGTGTTGCGTCGTGTGTGCGGTGGTCGCTGTGAGGGCCAAAAGTGTTTGCTTACCTTCATAAATTATAAATGGGTTTGCGGAGAGACCAAAACAACAACACAACAACAATAATAACAACAGCAGAAGCATCATCAGCCCTTAGGCGTCGTGAGTGTGCGACCCACACACACACAAGCGCACACACACATCCATTGTCAGTTGACCTCAGACTCGGCAGGTCCTGTGATGACGGAAAATATTGTAACACAAGCAAAGTTGAGGCGGGCACATGACAGTGCCCCAGGTCAACAAAATGTCCAACGGTGGAGTAATTTGTATCACATGGCTTTATTTGAATCCGAGAAACCCCGCGGAATTTCATACCACACATGAAATTTAAATTGCGTTGAATAATATGGGTTCTGACGTGTGCGAAAAATCCAGACTAACAAATGTGGGTCGCAGTTTCATGTAACAATTTCATTTTGTTTTTAATGTTAGAGAGTTCATAATTAGGTTATTGTATTTTATTTCAGTTAAAATTTAAAGAAATTTAAAGAAATTTCCTATAAAGTTCAGAGATTCTTTCAACAGTTTTTGCAACAGAATTTCATTTTCATTTTTCATAGAAATTAATACACAATGTTGAAGATAGATGTATCTACTTCCTTCCTTCCTAACCACCCTCCACTCTATTTTCACTTCTTTGGAGGCGTCCAACGTTGCGGATGTGTAACTTTCGTTTCGCAATTTGGCCCACTGTTTCTCATTCGCCATGCAACTAACAATTTCCTGTTCACATACACACAATCACGCTCACAATGTAAGCCGAATAGCCTTGATGCGCTTTTGGCTCGCAAAATGTGGGCTTAAATTATTCAGAGGGTCAGGGGTCAGAAGCAGCTGCAGCTGCGTCGACGCTTTGGGCAATCAAAGACAACAACAAGTGTGTGTGTGTATGGGCCATTTAATTGCTCGGAGAATAGCAATGGGGTATGGCCAAGGGGGATTAAGCCGGGTGGTGGAGCAGCGACGAAGACGTAGCGATAAATGACCCACAAATGACAAAGTGCAGCGGCAGTCAACGAGCCTTGTCTTTATTTCTTGCCGAAGTGTGAAAGGAACAAGACAAACCGCCAAAATAAAAAAGAAACAATCCTCCGGGCCTCAGTGGTAATTTATGAATCGCAGCAGGAGTGGCAAAGAAAAAAGGGATGTGCCGCATTCTATGTCCTGGCAGGAGGCCCTATGAAAAATTATTGTATTTCTGGTCAACATTTGCCTACTTATTTATAGCTGTCCGGTTGGACTTCTTCCCAGAAGAATTTCTACTTTAATTTCCTCCATTCCCAAACCAAAAATGTTAGGTAAATATTTTCCAGGAAAGCCATAAAAATAAACTAGATAAGAGAACAGTCTTACTGTATATTCCTGTGATGTTGAGATTCTGCATAATTATTCCTCTTGATTTATGTACGGAAAAATCAGAGAGCATAGAAACCATATCTTTAACGAAGCCAAAATAAATAAGAAATGGGAAATGTACTTGAAATTTCTGAAGAATGCTCTTTAAATTCAAAGTCAAGATGGCAGTGCAAAACTTTCTGCTTTTTGATTTCCCTTTTCATTTTATAGTCATTGTTATTAAGGTAAAAGGTTACTTAACCCTTTGTAAAAATATGTTTTATTCATTAAATCCGTTCTGCCTAAAAACCAAATCAAATCCATTTTAAATCCATCTAAATTAAGATTTCCTACTTTTTTTGGCTTTTAATTTCCCCAATGGTTTTTGCCAAAGACCACAGCTCACTTATCATCTCGACCCGACCCCACTGACGGATTCATCTTCGTCAGATTGAACCTTTTGTGTCATAAATTATTTATGTTTATGCACATTGCGATGACATTTGATCACAAGTGCCTGGCTTTGCCATAAATATTTGAGTAAAAATCAAGCAGGGGTGAAAAATTGTATTTAAAGTGGCATTTATCAAATCGATCAATAAACAATTACCAAAATGCGAATGCTCACAAAATAAATAAATAAATAAATAGCTCTCACACTCACACACACACATACAGCCATGGGATCCTATGAAGATTGCATAAATGCGAGTATCTGTGTGAGTTGGCAAACAGAAACGCTGTCTACGCATTAAAGATACATTTGCATGAGTGTGTGTGTGTGTTTGTGTGTGTGGGTGTGCTTGAAGGGGGTGAGAGCTGCGCTATTTCATGGCAGTCTGTTATTCGAGCGGCTTTTCCCTGGCTGTCGGTGAGGGGAAATGTTTGTGTTTAGTGGGAAATTGCTCTTTGCCGCCATTATCCGAGGATTCATTCAAA